CCATATACATACACAGAAACAATCCAAACTAATCAAAACAAACTACAAAGCACAGCAAGTGAGGAAGTCCTAATTGTGTTTTACCTCTATATTTAATAAATGTTCTTTCAATGATCTTTTAAATTTCCTTAAATCAGTTATCAATTTCATGTAATATGGCAGTAAATTCCATGCTTTCATACCTCTATACATAATAGTTCTTTTTAAGGCATTTGACTTTGCTTTAGGCAAACTAAAGTTTCCTTCAGTTGCATGCCTAGTCATGCATTCGTGATTCTCCGAACTAAAAGTAAGGTTTGTAAATAAAATATAAGGTGTTTTTAATACAGATACATTTCTAATCATAACAGTCAATGAGTATGAAAGTCTGTCTTTAACCAACAACCAGTTTAACTTTTTATTCATTGTTATGATATTTGTCCTTAAATCACACTTCAGTATTATTCGGGCAGCTCTATTTTGTACATGTTGTAGTTTATGTAGCATCTCTCCAGGGGCATTTGACCAAACGACTGGGCAGTAATCCAGTTGAGAAAATATCAATGATTGGATTATCATTTTAAGAATATTTGGGGACATAAAGGTTGCATGTCTTCTTATGACTGTGATTCCTCTACCCATCTTTGCAATCATGTTATTAGTATGTTTTCTCCATAATCACTTGTTATCAACCGTCACTCCCAGAAGCTTGGCCTCATGTACATTCCTTATCGAGACGTTATTGATATTAATATTCAATATATGATTACTGTCTATGTTGTAATTTGACCTCACAATCATGCTATTAGTTTTTGCTGTATTCAACACCAGCTTATTTGATTTCACCCATTTATCCTCTCCCACTAGTTCGTTATTCATAATAATTTCTAATTCATTAGTTGTTCTTGCTGATGTATATACTGTATAGTGGAATCATCTGCATACATAATTATTTTAGTTCTTCGAGTATGTATGGTAAGTCATTTGTAAAAATTTAAAATAATAAAGGACCCAGGCAGCTCCCTTGAGGTACACCGCATGTTACAGTTTGCTTTTCAGAAAATGTACCATTAAAATATACCGTTTGCGACCGGTTAGTTAAATAACTGTAAAACCAAGTAAGTGCAGATTGTTTAAAACCATAGCAGGAAAGTTTTTCTAATAGAAGATGGTGGTCAATTAAATCAAAAGCAGCTGAAAAATCCAGAAACACAACTCCCACCATATCTTTCATTTCAATACTCCTAAGCCAGTCATCAGACATACTAATTAGTGCTGTTGCTGTAGAATGAGCCTTTCTATAAGCATGTTGAGTGTCAAATTATGTTATTAATCGACAGATAATTATTAATTTGTTCATATACTATGGTCTCTGTTATTTTTCCTAACACAGGTAGTAGACTTATCGGACGAATATTTGAGCTGGAAAAGGGCAGTTTCTTATTTTTCTGTAATGGGATTATTTTTGCTGTTTTCCAGGCTTGTGGACACACTGAAGACATAAAAGTTAAGTTAATAATGTGAGTAATTACAGGAGCGATTTCATCAGCAACCAATTTGAGAATTCTGACATCCAGTTCATCAACACCCGGTGGTTTATCTTTGCACTTTTTCAGGCAATCCTTTACCCTCTGCAAGTTAACCATTTCTAATTTAAACTTGGACCTTTTCCCTTTCATTATTTCATTTCTTATTAATAAGTGAGATATTTCCTTACTTAGGTTAGGCATATTTTCTCTTAGTTTTGCTATTTTACTAATGAAATAATTATTTAAATAATTAGCAATTTCTCTAGGTCCAGTTATGAAGCCATCGTTTGTCTCAAGAAATAATGGATGTGTTCTATTTTTCCTACCTGTCAAATCATTAACGATCTTCCACATTTTTTGCAGCCATTCCCCACCTTCTTAACTCTATCTTCATAATAACTCTTTTTTTTTCTTTTTATTTAGCTTGGTCACAGCGTTTCTTTCTTTCCTATAGAGGCCCCAGTCTTCCTTATTCCCAGTTATAATCACAGTTTTTTTCGTTTGGTCTCTCCTTTTCATAGCTTCTTTCATTTCTTTGTCCAGCCAGGGTGTTTTCGATGTTCTGACGGTAAACCTTCTCAAAGATGCATGTTTCTCAATCACAGGTAGAAATAAATCATTAAACTTTGACAGTGCAAGCTCTGGATTTCTTTCAGTCAACACTTTAGACCAACATATTTCTCTCACATTGTCAACAAAAGAATAAGGAATAAAAGATGCATATGATCTCTTAAAAATTATTGTAGGTCCTTGCCTATCTACCTTATTGTTTTTTTCTACTATAATCAGATTATGGTCACTGCTTCCAATAGGGACCGATGATATCTTGTTAACAGTTTCTGGAGAGTTTGTAAAAATGTGATCAATACATGTAGCTGTTTTAGTACCATCTTCTTTTACACATATTCTTGTTGGCTTATTCATAATTTGAGCAAATCCTCCTGCATTAGCTCCAATTTGTATCTTATTCTTCAGTGGACAGTTATGAGCAAACCAGTCAATGTTAAAATCTCCAAGTAAATAGACATCCAGACCCACATTCATATTAGCTAACATTTCACAGATTGTCTCAAGATATTCATTGTTAGAACTTCGAGGTCTGTAACAGCATCCTACTAGTATAGGCTTTCTGTGAGGAGAATAAACTTGTAACCATAATATTTCAATATTATATTTAATCATGTCAGTACACATTTTCACAGGTAAATGATCCTGAATGTAAAAAGCTACTCCACCACTATATTTATTTCTGTCGTTTCTATAAATGTTGTAACCCTTTATATGTAATTCACTATCTTCAAAGGAGGAGTCTAAATGAGTCTCAGAAATAGCAAGTATATTCAGCTTATGTTCTTCTAACAATTCAGCTATATCATTTGTTTTGTTCCTTAGACTGTTTATATTTATATGTGCAATATATAGTCCACTTTTTAGTCGCTTGTGTTGGGATGTCATTGCCATATATTTTAAGAAGCTATTCCTGTAAGCATATTTCCGTTTGTTTATCCTATCTTGGGGTGCTGGTACGAGGTCGGATTATCAGTTTGTCGTTTCTGAGGTAAGCTATTTCACCCTTCTCACGTGAAGCTTTCAGTTTTGGCAAGAGTTCCTTTCTTTTTAACCTTACAGCATCTGTGTAGTCCTCATTGATGAATATTCTAGTACCTTTTAGATTTTTTGCTCTCTGCATTACTGCAGTTTTGTCTTTGAAGTGCAAAAACTTTACCACAATGGATCTAGGTTTTTCCCTATCTGTTTCAGGTTTTCCTATACAGTATGCTCGTTCAATATCAATCTCCCTTTGTAGTTGCAACTTCTGCTTTAGAATTTCTTTAACTTTTTCCTCTGATTCTACCCAAGATTCACCCGGGGTCATTTCTTCTCGATAAACCTTCCAGGTACTCTTGTTTATCCTGTAAGCTTACCTGTAAGCTTTCACATATCTTTATTATGTCTGTCTGGATTAAATTACCATGACCAGACTCTTTTGCCTGAGTGATCTTTAGCTCATCCACATCTTTCTGTGTGAATTGTATACTTAATTTCAACTCCTGAATTTCTTTTGTAATCATGTCCATCCTTGAATTTGTTGAATCCTTTATAACTTTAACAAAGTCTTTAAAAATGTCCTGCTGTTGCTGTAATAGAGCTGTAAACATGTCCTTCTGGTGATTCAGCAGGTCATCAGTCTGTCTTCAGTCTGCTTCATCACCTGCAAAGACAGATGTAAAAAAAAAAAAAAAGAACTGCACAACCAATGGATATAGTATAAGAGATACAATAAAGTAACACCTTGATACTATCACTGAAGAAGTAGTAGTATTATTTAATCTGACATGTTTACTGTGGTAGCTAAGGATAAGAATAAAGGCTTTCTGTATGGAAGTGAATCTCTAAGTACCTGTAGTTTTTTGTGAAAGTGCACTTGTGCATGTTTATCCAAAGGAAAAATGCTCAATAGTGGTTGTGAATGGGTGTGCAGGTGGAGCGGCGGTTAGCATGCACGACCCATGTACGAAGACCTTAGTCCTTGACGAGGCCGACCTGTGTTTCAGTCCGACCTGTGGTCCTTTCCCACATGTCTCTCCCCCTCTCTGATGCCCCCTTACCTTTCTGCCTACTGTCAAAAAAATGAGCCACTAGTGCCACAAAAACTCAAAAAAACAAAACATAAACATAGTGCTTGTGAAGAGCCAATGACCCGCAAGCACTGGGGGACCACAGATGCCCAAAGGGGGGCCAACCAAGGAAATCTGCCCCTCCTCCAAGGAAAGAGGAGAGACGGCCCTGAGGAAATCCCCCAGCTGGGAGCACCAAAGGGGTGCCCGGCACACCGGAAGGTAGCTGGGGCCAACACTTCCCCCAATCAACCACCCGGAACCCTCAATGTCTAAATGCGAGAGGAGCTGGAGGGAGCCACCCAAGGTTAGGCCAACACAATAAGCCAATCGGTCTTTGTCAGTCACGTGACTGACACGCCCCTAGCGCCATTTTTGTGGTGAGCGGAAGAAAAACAAAACAGCAGAAAACGAGAGGAGAGCGCTGCAAGCCAGCAGCGAGGATTATCAGTTAAATGGAAAAGAAAAAGAAAACTGAACTGATACCCTACCCAGACAAACTTTCTAAAGCTGCTAGGGAACGATATTATATATTATTATTACAGTGACAAGGCAGATGTTGTGGGCAGTTGCACAGATAGCTGCAGTTATTAGAGTAGTTTGTGCTGCTCATCAGACTGAACGAAAAAACTTGTCATAATTTTTGCACATTGATAAGTTGCACACTGTATTTGCTGTTCACTTTACCCAGGCCTGTTTTCACAAGGATCTGCAGTCTTCTTCACAGATATCACCTGTTAGGTAATATCTCTACGGAAGACCACAGTGAAAACAAGTCCAGGGAAAATGAAAATCTTCTAATTTAATCTAAAGAGCAATCTGCTATATACGAGGGAGGAAGACAAAGTAAAACATTTGAAGCTTTGCACTGTTCTGCATTATTTATGTATTTGAGATTTTTTATTGCATTTTCATAAATTCCCTGCTTGATTGTGAAGATAATAACAATGCTTGTTTCAAATTTCAAACTCCACTCTTTATTGTACACACATTTTTACAACTTCAGAAACATTGTTAATATTTGAAGTGATGGTGAAACTTATATTTGTTTTGCTGTTATTTTTCAAAAGTAACTTCAAAAAAAGCAAAATTCTATTTCTGTGAAAAGAAGAATAAAGTTGAAACAGTACTTGATCTGGCATTCATTTTTACACTACAGTAGGGCAATGATTTGTAAGGGCACAACAGACAGTGACAATCTTGTCCAAGAAAGTGACTTCTTCGCCTTCACATGTTAATAGCATGTTTATGGGTATGGTTCCAGTTAATATTTTGTATTTCTGACAAACATTTCCAATCACCCTTTTAACATGAATTCTTAGATGTGCAATCTTCCTTGTTTCTTCTATATCCTTAGCATCCAGCTGACAGCGCCCCTTTGTGAAGGCCTGAAGCTTGACCTCCGCACACAGCATGCCAACATTTTCCTGTATATCAAAACCTCGGTCAGCTAACACAACATCCCCAGGCAACAACAGGTTAAGAAAGCCACTGTTCAAGGTGATATGTTTGTCACTTGTACATCCACCCCACCCTTTTGACAAGAAACATATAGCTCCATTGGGTGTTATGCCTATTAAATACTTCATGGTATGATTGTGCTTGTAGGAGGAAAACATCTGGGCACGTGCCTTCAAATTAGCTGGTTTCTCTGTGAAAATTTCAAAACAGTCAATAATCACTGTGACTCTATGTCCAAAGGCCTCCACAAACTGATGAGGCATAATTTTGTGCAAGGTGTCTCTATCTGGCCACACAATTGCACGCTTTAGATTTGCATATAAAAATGACACCATTTCATTGAATGTTCTGTACACTGTCTTTGGTGAAACACGGAAGAGATAAGCAAGGTGTTGTGAGGGCAGATCCAATCTCAGACGCATGAAGGTTAACAGAAGCATTTGAAATGGACTGAGAATTTTGTTTTGAGCAGACATGAGAGGCAGCAGAAAATTAAACAAAGCCATAAAGGTTGCCAAGTTTGGCAGACCCGTATAGTACTTGACTTTTTCATTACTGTCTCCAAAGAAGCCATCAGAGATCCGCAGCTCATCAAGTTCACGCCGCAGCTCTCTGTTTTCTTCCAAAAGACGATTCATCTCTGCACACCTGAGCACACACAGGTTACATTCTGTCTGTCCTTCCTGACGACCACCTTCTGTGTCATCCTTGGTGTTTGGCCGGCCAACGTTTTCAGCAGCCTTCTGCGTGTCAGTCTGTTGCTGGTTAGGGTTCTCTGTCGCCTCATGTGTAACTTCATCCTGTTGCTCAAGGACTTCATCAGCCTGATGGAGCCCCGTTTCAGTTGCTTGCAGGGCATTCTTTTTCAGCTGTTCCCGATAACCACGTCTTAAAGAGCGTTCTGTGTCTGTTGGTTTGATGTCAGTGTGGCCCAGATGCAGGGATGGAGCCCAGTCTGGGTCAGTCTCCATCATCTCATATGCGGGTTGACCTGCAAAGTAGATGAAAGGTTGAGTGTTTTACACGTCTATTCAAAACACTATATAAAGCACCTTAATAACAGAGCCCATTAGATTAGATGTGTAATAAAATAAGATAACCTTATGTATCCCACAGTGGGGAAATGTGCTATCGGTCTCCGCCACGTGGCGTCAATTGTTTACCTCGGGAGCGGTGCATCGTGGGAAAACCACCATATTAGGTGGAAAGTCGAGATAAGCCACACGCGGCTGTTCTTTCGGCACAATTATTTACCAGAAATGACACGATCGTGTTGTGTGAGAGGCTGCCAAGACAGGTGTCGTGCCAAGGTAGTTATCCCTGCGAAAATTTGTATCCCCTCGTCGGGAGCGCGCACGGAGTAGGAAGATCAACCCGAGTTAACTCCGCTTCAATTCCAACGTGCAGAACTTGAAATTTGAAAGGTTTTACGTGTATGAAAGTGGAGCTTTACAGTTTTATTCTTTACTTCACATGTTATAGCAGAATATTGCCAGTAATATTGATCTAAAACTAATAATAAAACACAAACGTTGTTTGAAAGCTGGTCGCTGACAGCAGTGTCTACTCCTCCCTCTGAAAGCAAACAGATCCTTGTTCTTTTTCACACGTTCATTAAAAAAATCTCTCATTGTTTCACAGTGTCCAAATATTCTCATCCCATTGAAAACTGTTGTAAACCGTATACTTGTAATAAAAATGAAATAGAAAATGGAGTGCACGTGTAATCATTAAAGACTATATGCAGAAGGAAAATAATTTTTTCCTGGTTGAAATTTAGTACTTAATTCTATATTTGTGTTTACAGTAACGTACAATTTATCTATGTTGTACTATCCTTAATAAACAGTTTGTCTTCTAACATCAGCCGTTTTATTTCATCCCATATTGTCAGAACTGGCAATATGGGATGAAATAAAACCTGCTGTAATCTGTTTCGCCTGTCTAAATCAGGCAAAAAAGGCCCCAGCTTTTTCATTTTTGGCTTATAAGCATCTTTTATGATGCCAAAAATAAAAAAAAAGCTGGGGCCTTTTTGCCTGATTTAGACAGGCAGAACAGATTATGGCAGGTGGCCTGCTATGATTTGTTCCCTCCTTGTAACTTTAAGAAATAAAGGTCCATCACATCCAAAGTTTCAGGAATAAATTGTCATCAAATATAGATTTAAGTACTAAATTTCAACCAGGAAAAAATTATTTTCCTTCTGCATATAGTCTTTAATGATTACACGTGCACTCCATTTTATTTTATTAAGTATATGGTTTACAACAGTTTTCAATGGGATGAGAACATTTGGACACTGTGAAACAATGAGAGATTTTTTTAAGGAACGTGTGGAAAAGAACAAGGATCTGTTTTCTTTCAGAGGGAGGAGTAGACACTGCTGTCAGCGACCAGTTTTCAAACAAACGTTTGTGTTTTATTATTAGTTTTAGATCAATATCACTGGCGATATTCTGCTATAACATGTGAAGTAAAGAATAAAACAGTAAAGCTCAACTTTCTTACACGTAAAACCTTTCAAATTTCAAGTTCTGCACGTTGGAATTGAAGCGGAGTTAACTCGGGTTGATCTTCCTACTCCGTGCGCGCTCCCGACGAGGGGATACAAATTTTCGCAGGGATAACTAACTTGGCACGACACCGGTACGGTTCTTTCGCATTCTGCTTACTTTTTTCCATATAGTCAGAGAAACAAACTCAATCCTTTAGTCCTTCGTTTAGCTATGCTGCGGTTGTTTACACTACGCCTTTTCCACCAAAAATGGCGTCTTAGCAACAAATGTCACGTGACTGGCGGAGACCGATACCGAAACAGCACAAGTACATCGGACTAGTAAGGCCAGAGGTAAATAAAACTGAAAAACTTACAGACGAACAAAGGATTATAATAAATAAACTTAAGTAGATTGCACAGGATGAATAAATACAGTGAGTTGGCTGACGACTGGGTATGTACAGTGTTTTTATATGTACAGTGTATTTATATATATTTATTCATTTAAAAAATATATTTGTATTGCAGATTGTGTAAATGATTATATACAGAGAATTTATTATTTATTAAATTTTAGCGGTCTAAAAGAGAAATAAACAAAACAAACATTACTTTCCGCTTCTCTTCCACAGCATGTTTCAGTAGGTTTACATGAACTCCTGCAACTTTATAAGCAAACCATTTCAGCGTGTTGATTTCTTTTAGTGTATATTTATAAGGACTTACCTTTGTGAAAATGCCGAGAGCAAACACGAGCATGAGGAGATATTTTATGGAACGTGATGTCTTTCCTTCTTACAGCAGCGACCCATGCAGCCCGACGCCTCTTTGTTAAGTCCTCTGTCTGCGGTCCGTATTTTTTTTTCCAAGTGGGGAATACGAAAAACCGTACGGCACCATCTGCTGTTTTCTGTTTAGAATTACTATTGCATCCTTTGACGCAGCACCAGTGTCCCATTATTTCCAAAGGAAGCAACTAGAACACTTCTACTCTCTGTTAGTTTTCTTCTGTTTGTTGCTGCTCTCTCCGCCAGAGAAATGGCGCTAACTACCCTAAATGCATTGCGCTTTTGCGGAAGTGACGTACACTGTACCGCCACCAATGGCGGTTGGCAACAAACTTTTAGTAGCATTACCGCCACTTACTGGTATGGAGTGTGGTTCGTGATGGTTTAAATATTTATCCTGATACATTCTACCCTAACTTCTTCTAAACATACATTCACACATTCACACTTAAAAATATATACATATTTGTGCACAGCTTTGTATATCATTCCTTCACTCACAAACACACTTACTATAATTAAATTCTATGAAATAATTTCGTTTTCTTTAGAAATCGAATAATTATTTGTGTTTACTCCCTAAATTTTTCCTCAGTATATCTAATAAATTAATCTTCTCCTTAATGTCTTCAAACTCTCTCCTCATATATCTTCTCTCTTTTTCATATTTATGACATTCTAATATAACATGTTCTATAGTTTCATATTTATCACAGAAATCACATTTGCCCGTTTTATGTTTTTGTATTTTTCCACCAAACCTCCTGGCTTTCGTGAAAAAAAAAAAAAAAAAACCCTGGTTAGCCAGCCCGCACGAACCATGCAGAACCCCTCACCCTGGATGAAGCCAGTGCCAGGAGACGGCATGGACCGAGGTAGGGGCCGGACACGAAGCCCTGCAAACATTCATTTTGGCCATTTCTATAACTGGATCAACATGAGCAAGTGTGAGATGGGTCCAGTGTTGGGCCTGCCAAGCTAAAGGGGTTAAAGCATAGATGTTTTTTGGGGGGATAAAAGTTTTCCAAGAAAGCCCAGAAGATGCCCTCGAGTCACTGACCTGCAGTATTCACTCCTCCTGGTTAAACTATTAACTATTATTTCCAGGTAAATGGAAGGAGTCCAAAATTAAACCATTACCTAAAAATAAAAAAGCTGCTTTTACAGGACCTAACTGTCGACCTATTAGTGTACTTCCTCTAATGAGCAAGATTATGGAAAAAATTGCATTCCAACAGATTACTAAGTATCAGCATGCATTTAGAGAGGGTTATTCCACTTGCACTGCTTTAACTCATACGACAGACAAAAGGCTGGAAGAACTAGACTCAAACAGGTTACTGTAGTAGGGGCAGTAATGTTAGATTTCAGTGCTGCTTTCGATCTGATTGACCATGCAATATTGTTAAAAAAACTAGAATGCTATGGATTTTCTCCCTCTGCTCTGTCATGGATGGATACTCCACTCTTATACTCTATTTTTTTACAAATGATCTGCCTTGTATACTGGAGAATACAACTATAGTTATGTATGCAGATGACTCCACATTGTATTGTGCAGCACAAACATCTGACCGTGTGTCAAACTTACTTAATTATGATTTAGAAAAAGTGAGCAGGTGGGTTAAAGAAAATAAATTGGAATTTAATATAGAAAAAACAACATCTATCACTTTTGGAAGTAATCATAAATTAAAAAATGAAACCTCACTATGTTTGTTAGTCAACGGGCTGAAACTTAAGCAAGTAAAGGAAACTAAATTATTGGGAGTCATCTTAGACTCACACCTGTCTTGGGCTGCTCATATAGATGGTATTGTGGCTAAAATGGGTAAAGGCATTACGATGGTGAAGAAATGTGTTTCATTCATACCCGCTGCTTTTGGTAAACAGGTTGTACAGTCTCTTGTCCTGAATTATCTGGAGTATTGCCCAGTGATATGGTCATCTGCTTCACAGAGTGAGCTTCACAAGCTTCAGCTGGCACAAAACAGGGCGGCCAGAGTGGTCCTTCAGTGCTCACAAAGAACAAATGTGGCTTCAATGCATAGACGGCTTTCAGTGTTAACAGTTACCTATAAACTTAAATTAAGACTCCTCCTATTTATATGGAATGTTTTCTTTAAAAAAAACAGCCTTCACTTATTGCTGAACATTTAGTCCTTCTTGAAAAAGTCATAATTATTTAACAAGGCGGGCACTAGGTGGAGACATTAAACCCCCACTCAGAACAAACTATCTACACTGGAAAAAAAACGAAATCTAGATAAGTCATTTTTTCTTAAAATAAATGCATTATTTCTTGTATTGAGGAGATAAAAAAAAACATTTTGCCAATGGAACAAGACAATTTACAATTGAAATAAGAAAACACAATAATAATTGTCTTTTTTCAAGTGCATTTTATCTAGATATCTCATTTTAAGAGTAGAAAATACTCATTCCATTGGCAAACTATCTCATTTACCTACTCAAATTAAGGGTAAATATGCTTACTTTAAGACCTTTTTACCTTTTTCTAGATCGTTTTTCCAGTGTAAAATCCACAGTGTATTATAGAACCATATGTTACTGGAACCAACTGCCAGTAACTATTCGAAGAGTCCAGAACAGAACAAGCTTCAAAAAGACACTGTCTTTAGAACTACTGCAGATGATATGATGAACTGACCTGTGTATATATGTTGTATATTTCTACTTTTTTTCATGTTTCTATTATTTCCTAATGTGCAACTTGTGCAATTTTTTTAATGGTTTGTTCATAATGTAATGTAATTTCTTTATGTGAGGACCCCAGGAAGATTAGTGGCCATTTATTTGGCAGCTAATGGGGATCCTAATAAAACTAAACTAAACTAAACATGAAGTGGTAGCTGACAGTGGCTTGCATTGTGTTATTGCAGCATCCCTCACAATGAGCTTGCATATGGTGACAGTGAGGTGAAAAATTCCCCTTAAACAGAAGAAAACCTCGAGCCGATGCTTAACCAGGCTCAGTGTGTGAGCAGCCTTCAGATGAGACCAACTGGGTTTCAAGGAGACAGCAGCAGACATAGAAAAGACACATCTGCTGCTTCATTCCCATTTCCCATCACTGACTCCTGGGAAGGTTTCAGCTGCTTTCATCATATCTTTATAATCTCTCCTATGTTATCAGGTCAGTAACATAATCAAAGTTATTTTTGTTCAGTCAATAAAATCAAACCCCAGTCAAACAAAAATGAAAGTGCATCCTGATATGACTGGTTTAGTCTAATTTTGTTGACCTAATATTTATCAGTTCTTCATCATAGATGTCTTTACCTTCTCATCTTCAGCTGCCGTTTTACTGCGTTCACATCTTTTCCCCCACAGCGACATCACCTTTGAATTTTTTTTTTCTTTACATTGTACATCATCGTTACACATTTCCCAGGACTTTGCCTCGCTTTACAAATATATGCTTAACAATCAGTAAGATTCAATTTCAAATTATGCATGGTTGGGTTTTTTTTTGTTTTTGTTTTTTACTTCATCAATGAATAAAAAGGAATCCACAAGAGACAAATTTTCTTTAGCTGGTTTAATTATATTAGTTCTTAATCATTAGATTTTTTTCCATTAATACTTCATGGGTTATATCTTTAATCAAGATTTAACTTTTAACTCTCTGCCATTTCCATTCTATCAATAGCCTAAATTCTATCCTTACTCATCCTAAATCAAGGATTGAATAGCTTGTGGAAATGTATTCTTTTACAGCATTATGTGGTACATTACAGCTTGTTTTTCCCTTGTCAGGGTAGTTTGAAAAGGAGTTGTCCTCCTTTTTGGATGCTTTTTGAATCTCTAACAGACAAGCAAAAAGTACTTTAGAGAAATGTTTTTCTTATATGTTAATGAAAATGACAAACTAACAGACAAAGAGGGAACTGCAATAACAGTAACCAATCATTTGACAACAAAGAGACTGAAAACCAGAACTCATGCAACTGAGATGAAAGGAAACTAGTTAGGTTGATTCACCGAAAAGGAGAACAGGCATCAAATACTGTCATTGTAGTAGTAATAGAGGTTAAAAATAACTTCAGTGATCTTTTTTTTTAGTCTAAAAATGCAGAAAAAGTCCTCCGTGAAGGTAAGTTAACAGATTGCGATTAACATTTCTGTTTCAATCTCACTGCAAACATTTTTTTCTTCCCTTTTATATTAAACGGTAAGGATTTTGTTAGTATTTATTAGAAAATCCCATGAGATGTTGCACAATTCTTTCCAAACATTATTAAATATTTGAAGCTGAACCTTTTTTCGAGAAAAAGAATGCTAGTATTTTTGTCAGCTTTTGGGTCTTTCCATGGAAAGTGTAATGATTGGACCTCTGAATTTAGAGGTTTTTTATTATAACCTTTTTTTCTTTTTTTTAGTTTCATAGCCTATAGAACTTGTAACATATTTTTCAAGCTCAGACACCATTTTCTGCCAATATCTTAGCACATTGTATCCAGGGAGCAGAGTTTCCTTTTCCACCACGTCACGTCACAGGACAAAGGTTAACAAATTAAAGGGTAATTTTAGATAAAAGTAAGACAAACAAAATGTTATTCACTTCAGAAAGTCTTTTTTTTTCAATAATACCAAAAGAGTGTTCAAAGTGTTTTTTTAAATGTTTTTATTTGATGTAGAGCATTAATAAATAAATGTAATATGTGAGAGATCATACTTTCTTTGTTAAAATTTACATTCTGACTTACTTACATAATGTGTACATAATTGCAAATATAAACTATGTGTATAATTTATCTGACCGCTAAATTACCTTTCGTCTTTGAAAAAATAAAAAACATCACTCTTTGACGGGGTGGAATGGACAAATCTAAGGACTGCACCATTTAAATTTCATAGTTGCTCAAATTTGGTTGACATGATTCACACCACAATTAATGACAGACACCGACAGAAGTAACCACTGGTTTATTTAAAAACAGCTCATCAAAAACAAAAAACAATAATCACAGCTTACTTTGGGTATTAGGATCATTTACAACTGTTCTCGGCAAGAAATTTTTGATGTAGTTTTTCATTGATTCCTTCAACCATCAATGACAAATGTGTCTGTGAGTTCTACTAATCTGACCTTGACTGCTGCTGTCTCTGTGGATCAGAATCTGGACTTTGTGGTGGGGGGAAGGCCCCCACCATGTATGTATGTTGTATGCTTGTCTTTGTGCCTTTCTCTATATCCCTTCTCCATCTCTCTCGCTCACATTCTAAATACTTTTGCCTCCTTTCAGGATCAACATTACGGCGTGCCCGACAACGCCTCTGATTTTCCGCTGCATTTAATGAGCTATAATTATCCTGAGCTATCTCTATAGTTATGCTGCTATAGGCTTAGACTTCTGGAGGACATAGGGACCCCCATTTCATCATTCTGCTTCATTGTCTCTCTGGTCTCCTATTCTGTAGAATCTATTAGTTCAATCTCTAACCTTCTGCTCTCTCTGCTTTTCCTCAGAGTAGCTTTGCCTCATCTGTTCCTGTTTAGCTGTGACGTCATCCTGGAAAGAAACATCAGCTGTGCTGCTTCCATCAACACCCTTGTTTATAGATGTTGGAGTTTGGCCTGTTTTCCAGTGTGGTCCTGTTTCTCTGACCTTGACTGAGCGGATGTGCTCTCTTCGTCCTCTGGCATGGGAGCTGGCTCGGAGCTCGTCTGCCTGGCTGTGTGTTTCCTGGATGGGGCCGCCTTTTACAGCTGCTTTTTGTGTCTCTGCTTCTGTCTCCTTGAACCCCAGTCGGCCTCAGCAGATGGCCGCTCACACTGAGCCTGGTTCTGCTGGAGGTTTCTTCCTGTTAAAAGGGAGTTTTTCCTCTCCACTGTCGCTACAAGCATGCTTAGTGTGAGGGATTGTATTTGAGTCAATGAGTCGATGCAATCAACTGGTTTTCCTTAGATAGAAAACTTTGTATCAATTTGACTGTATGATCTGGTTGAACTGTAAAGTGCCTTGAGATGACATGTGTTGTGAATTTGGCGCTATATAAATAAACTGAATTGAATTGAATTGAATTGAATTGAATTGACTCATTTTCATCCTCCAATATTATCCTGATAACAAAGAACAAACTGTTCAATTTGATGCTGGGGGAGGAAAGTGTTAAAGAGATTTAAATATTTTATACTAATATCAATATGAAGAACATTGCCACCTATCACAAAGATTCCAACCCGTCAGGCTTTAGTGTGACGGGGTGGAAATCTAAAGCAATATGGCTCAATTTCTGGATATGTTAAAACCTGATGGTGCCGTTAGCATTGAAGTACAATGAAAAATGAATGATTAACACAAATATAATTTCAAAATTTGATTAACAAATTGTTTCCCCCACTTTTTGTGTGTGACGGGGTGGTTATGCTATGGTTAACAGAAAAGATTTTGAAGGTAAAATGTACCAAAAATGTTCTTAAAGAAAAAAACAAAACTCACCATTGTTTGGACTTCTCTTCTTTAAACTCTTCAATGATGTCACTTCATATTAGTGATGTCATTTCACGTTAGTAATGTCACTTCTAGGAAGTGTATTGCATTTTGGTGCAAAATAACATTGGTGTGATGGGATGGAATATGAAATTGATGGACATAGAAAAATCATGCTATTTCAATTAAAAAATATGACATTTTAATATAATGAACACATTTCCTATTGAGAGGAGAGTATTTCTAACCATAACAACAAAAAATGTTTGAGATTTATTTATTTATCTATTTCATATTTCTTTAGTTTTACATTGCACGAATAAGAAAAATGGTCAGAGCGGACATGAGAAGTAAAGAAAAAGTTATAAATATGCAAAATATATATTATTATTCAATTTTATTTCACCTCATGCTACCAACTAAACTTGAATCAAAGGCTTTAGACACTTAAAGTATTACTGACAGTTTTATTATGCTTCCTATTCCTCTTTGAAACTTAACAGTTTTCATGGAATGACCCTTTTAGCTTTTTTAAAGAGGATGTGCACAGCACCCGATCCATTCCGTTTTGATGGCCCTCCTTTGGACTAACAGTGGGGGTAGAGCATGGCAACATCACAGTAAAAGGCATTCACAAAGATAGGTCTTATTTCTGTCATCAGAAAACTGCTATTGTGTAAGGGGAGAAAGGATGTTTCTTCAGGGTATTGCTGTGTGCATTTTAAGCTTCCTTTCTTGAATAAAACAAATCTCAGAAAACTGAGTCCAACTGGCTAAATTCTTAATAAAGATGACATATGCCTGGGTCCATTTGGTTTCACCTTTTGAACCTGTGATATCTGAGGATACCAAGACCTTCTGATTTTTTTTTCTTACAGTCTGCTAGGCTAGTTGTTTATTTGTTAACAGAGTCAGAGTGACACTTGATCACTTTACGTAATTGGAGACACATGGTGAGACGCACCTCAACATCAGGTATAAACTGAATATTGTTTACTAGCTACAAAGCTCAGAGAGCAGGGTTAGACCCGCCACTGACGTGACAGCTTCCAGGAAATGCAAGAGTTGGTGTTGGTGACAGTTAAATATAGGGGTGGAAGTGAAACTGATCAGTTCTCTCTCTCTCTCTCTCTCTCTCTCTCTCTCTCTCTGTCTGTCTGACACTTTGCAGCTGCAAATGGATAAGTTTAAGACGGTTCTAAATATTGCCAACAAACAGACCAACCTTGGCTTTGGGTTGGTGGCTCTGATGACAGCAGGAGGAGAGCAGATCTTCTCCTCGGTGGCCTTTAAGTGCCCCTGCAACGAGCTAAACTTTCTCTATGGAATGGTCTTCCTGCTGGTACCGGCGCTTGCTTTGCTGCTGTTGGGCTACATCCTGAGTAAAAAGATGTGGAGGTTGTTAACAGGTTTCTGGTACAACAGGGCAAAGAAGTGTGCCTGTAAAAACTTGATTGCCACTTTCAAGGCTTTCCTCCAGATCAGTTCCATGGCGTTCGTGGCACCGTCTACCTGGATTGCTGTTGCTCTACTTCATGGAAACTATTATGAGTGTGCAATGACGGGGACCACCATTAACAGTTACAACCAGTATGTGTGCAAAGATAAGTCGGACTGTGCAAAGAACCTCCACATGTTCCCTTGTGATAAACGTAATGAGGAAGTTCTCCGTATCATAAGAGCTCAATCTCAGGTAAGCAGTTTGTTAATGTAATTCCACCATAGCATTAATAACACTGAGTTATTCCTGTTTTTTTACGAGCAAATGATTGCAAGGCAAAAATTAATAAATATCTTGCAATTTAGCAGAACATTGGAACTTAGTCTGAAAAGACTACAAAAGTTAGATGGACTGTTTAATCAGCACTGTGAAGAAGGTTTAAGGATGAAGGAGAGATGGGGGATCTGGAGTCAACAAGTCATCTCTATGACATACATTTGATCTGCCAAGCCACCAAAGCACGTCAGTCCGATCTGCACAGTGAATTAACCTGTGCACATGGACTCACCTGGTTCAGTGGTTGGGCAGATCAAATATATGGTATATGATTTATTGACTCCAGATCCCCCATCTCTGGGCTGAAGAGAACTGAAATATAGACCTACCTTCTAAATTATTCAAACTGTTGGTTAACATTGTTGTGCAAACAGCTAGACATGTTAACAGGTCTATTCTGCATTAGTATAAATATAACCTTTAGTTGTGTTGAGCCAACAATAGCATGCAAACTGGAGACCATATAATCTTCACTGCAAAACATGTAAATCTAAGTAAATCATTTCTTAGAATAATTGTGTTTTTGTTAAATTGAGGAGGTGAGACACATTGCCAATGGAATAACACAATCTACTTCTAAAATAAGAAAAACGAAACAATTGCAGTCTCTTTTTTTAAGTGTATAATATCTAATTATATTATTTTAAGGGTAAAAATGCTCATTCCTTTGGCAGATGACCTTATTTTCATACTCAAATTAAGCGTTTTTAAAGTTTTAAATGTTTAAATTCTGATTATTAGAAGTGAATAACTGGTTACATTTAAGTTCTTGAAAAAAAAAGGTTTGCTTTTAACATTTCTACAGTTCAATATATTATTTCCACTTCAGCTTTTATATATTTAAAGTTTCACAATTTTTACTCCTACTATAGTAGTGGTGGTCATGCTTTCTGGCAGCTCTACCCAACTCTAATTACTTAACTGGATAAAAATCATAAACATCTGAAGAGCTTCTATCTGAATTTGTTATTTTATTGTTGTATTTGTATACCCATTTATTTTATTATGTTGTTTTTTCCAGTTTTTCTTAAATATTGTATACAAATTTGGTCAATGTTTATGATTAAGGTTTTAGTAAAAAAATTTTTTTCCCATTTTAACCAAATACTTGTTGTTGGTATATATTTTTTTACTTTTTAATTGGTCTTGAAGTGTTTTTTTACGCTTCTCTGTACAGACCTTATACCAATGAATTGTATATTTTAAGTGGTTTATCACCCATACGAAATGTATTACTATTACAGCGGCCTGACGCAGTCACCATTAAATATGCATTATGTCTCATTTATTGCATGGCCCTTGGTATGTTTTGGCTGCAATTTAGAAAGGAAAGCAAATAACTTTGTTTTTTTATAAAAGCGCATAAACAAGAAAAAATATTTAAATGTAAGCAAAAGGTTTGTATAAAATGTGTTTTCAAATACATAACCTTTTAGTGTATATTCATTGAAGAAACAAAAGATTTTAATTTTAGCAATAGTTAAAGTTTGCCAAGTATTACCAAAACTATGTTTGTGTTACTAATATATTTAGGCTGAAAATATCTTAGATGGTAATAATAAAACCCAGACAGTTTAAATTTAACATTAACATTGAAAGTCCCAACTAAAAGTTCTAGTGAGAGAAACCTTAACTTAAAGGTCATGGCTACAACTTTTTTTTAATTAAAACAACACATCTTTTTAAATAAAATGATAGTATTCTAAAAAATGTCAGTGTTAACGTTAGCTGACCTGGCAACCCTTAAGCAAGCATTATGTTGATTCATCCTCAATTCATCCTCAGTTCAATTCAAGTGTTGATGGCAGCAGCACAGCTGATATTTCTCTCCAGGATGGCGTCACAAGCAAACAGGAACAGACCGGATGAAGCTACGATGAGAAAAAGCAGAGAGAGCAGAACGTTAGAGATTGAACTAATAGATTCTGCAGTGTGGGAGAATAGAGACTGAATGAAGCAGAATGATGAAAAAGGGGTCCCTATGTCCTCCAGCAGTCTAAGCCTATAGCAGCATAACTATAGAGATAGCTCAGAATAACCTGAGCCACTCTAACTATAAGTTTTATCTAAAAGGAAAGTTTTAAGCCTAGCCTTAAAAGTAGACAGGGTGTCTGCCTCACAGACTAAAACTGGTAGTTGGTTCCACAGGAGAGGAGCCTGATAACTAAAAGATCTGCCTCCCATTCTACTTTTAGAAATTCTAGGAACCACTAGTAAATCTGCAGATTGAGAGCAAAGTGCTCTGTTAGGAACATAAGGAACAATCAGATCTCTAATATAAGATGGAGCTTGGCCATTTATGGCTTTATATGTGAGAAGGAGGATTTTAAATTCTATTCTGGATTTAACAGGAAGCCAATGAAGAGAAGCCAGGATAGGAGAGATATGATCTCTCTTTTTAATTTTCATCAGAACTCTGGCTGCAGCATTTTGGATCAGCTGAAGGCTTTTAACTACAGTTTGTGGACTTCCTGATAGTAAAGAATTACAATAGTCCAGCCTTGAATTAACAAATGCATGGACTAGTTTCTCAGCATCACCCCTGGACAGGAGATTTCTCATTTTTGCAAAATTTTAGAGATGAAGGAAGGAGATTTGATATGGGATTAAAATGACAGGTCCTGATCAAATTCAATTCACTTTATTTCTATAATGCCAATTCACAACACATGTCATGTCAAGGCACTTCAAAGTACATCAGATCATCCAGTCAAACTGATTCAAAATTTTCTATCCAAAGAAAACCAGTTCACACACTAAGCATGCAGAGACAGTGGAGAGGAAAAACTCCCTTTTAAAGAAGCCTCCAGCAGAACCAGGCTCAGTGAGAGCAGTCATCTGCTGAGGCCGACTGGGGTTTAAACAAATCAAGTCATCAAGCTATCGATACTATTTGCCCATCACTACTAAATCAGGGACCTAGAGTCTTCTGATGTTGATCATTCTGACTCAACTTACTTTAAAGTTAATAAAAAAAAAAAAAACATTTTACCATGTAACTGACCACTACTACTACTTACCTCTCCCCTTTGTACAACTGTGGGAACAGTAAGTTGTCTCTGTAGTAGTTTAGAAAAGCAGCCGATTGCATTGACTCATTGACAACATCGGACAATCCCTCATACCAAGCATTCTTGTAGGGACAGTGGAGAGGAAAACTCTCTTTTAACAAGTAGAAACCTCCAGCAGTTCCAGAACCAGGCTCAGTGTGAGCGGCCATCTGCCAAAGCCGACTGGGGTTCAAGGAGACAGAAGCGGATATAGAAAAAGAAGCAGAGATACAAAAGGTAACTGTCAACCAGCTCCACAGACGGCTCCGTCCAGGAAACACAGCCAGGCAGGCGAGCTCCGAGCCAGCTCCCATGTCAGAGGATGAAAGAGAGCACAAGTCACAGTCAGGAAAGATGACTACACTGAAAAACAGGCCAGGCTGCAACAAACAGGCAAAGCTGTATGCATATAAAAAACTAAAGTGTTCATATCTTATTATTCTATGTCCAAAACATCAAATACAGTCCAGGTGTAACTATGTGAAGATCTAATTTAAACAATATGCTCCATTTACTATATAATGGTTCAAGACAAGCATCAGTCTCAAACAACATCTCCCCACTGCTGTTTATTACATTTCTTAGGCTGTGCCGTTCATTTATGACCCTATGTATGTTGGATGCTTCAAGCAATATGTCAGCTCTTTGCAAGCTGATTAATTTAACCTATGTATTCACCCAATTGTATTCAAAGCACTCATTTCTCTTTTTTTCATGATTTGCTTATTTTTGTTGCATATAGTGTTGAATTTTAATGAGAAATGATAATAAACTTTAAATTTTTTTATATTGTTGGCATCAACAGATTCTAGGTTGGCTTGTCATCTCGTCCATCATGTTGTCCAGCTTACTGATTATCTGCTGGGCTCGCTGCAATTCCCCAATCAGCTACCAGCAGCTCAAGTTCTGGATGGAATATGCTGAGGAGGAAAGTGCACTCATGGATAAATACACCGATAAACATGCTAAAGATCTTGCTGAGAGAAACCTCAAGAGCTTTTTCAACCAGACAGTACCAGAAAACATCATCACTCCTTCAAACAAGGACTGGGAGAAAATTTCTTCTTTATACAGGTTTAGCACCAAAGACCACTACTACAGCACTTTGCATCGATACGTGGAGTCCAATGAGGACAAAACCGATGAAGGGATTAGGATGACTTCAATAAGGTCAAATGAGTCGACTGATAACCCAGCTGTGCTTCATTTTGTGGATGGTGGAATGGTTTCAATTTGAGAAAGCGCACAAATGAATTGTGTACAAGATACATTTCAAAAGGAGAAGAGTGTGACTTCATTGGGAGTGACGCTTGATTGTTAAGGGTACAACCTGAGATTAAGGGTAAAGTCTGAAATTTGATTATATTTTGTAGGAACTGTATATGGTGGCACAGAGTTGCAAATTTGCAAATACATAAATGTGCAGAAAATGTAAAACCTGCTGTAAATGCATCAATGATGCCAACACACAAAAAACAAGCTAAGGAAAAATGCTGAGAGCTAAAAAAAAAACGCAAGTTTAAAAATATGCATAAAAAAAAAAACACATACAGGACGTCAAATGCCTCACACTGACTTTGATGTGGCTGCAGTGCGGGCACTAAAAGGAACATTTTAGAATAAAATCAGCCCACCAGCCTCAGTCAACTAATGTAAACAAAAAGGGAAAACAAAACATAGACAAACAATATTTATGTGCATGGATATTAGGTTTTGCCCCAGAACTATACTGTAACTATAAAGAGTGTGAATCCACCTGAACTTATGATCTGGTGAAAGCCAGTTCTGTAGCTGCGACCGAAATGGCCACAGTGTCAGTTAATTAGCAGCAACTTGAGGATGTTTTTGCTTCATACAACATTAAGCATATTTTTTTGTTATGTTAATGTTTTTTGTGTTTACAACACTTTTATCTATTTACAGCACATTTCTATGTTTGCAGCAATCGTCAACCTCGACCACCACAATTGTTTTCCTCTGTTTTTCTCTTGATTATGTTGTTCAGCTATTGATTCCTATTGAAATCAACTTTGTCTCACTGTTGAATAGAAATCCAACTGTTTTCAGGCTACAGTTGTACCTGTATATATTATATTACTGTTTTCCCCCCCTGAACTCATAACCACCTTGATTCCAACTATGCTTGTGACTTTTCTTTGTCTGTAATTCGAGGTATTTTCATTAATATTAATGTCTCATTCTGTGCTCGATCCTTATAAACTGCTTTATTTTCCATGAAAAAAAAATTACTTGTTTTCTCCAGTCCGTGTTTTAAAGATATATTCCATGAAGAATGCATGAAAACAGTTTCTACTGCTGCTTTACTCATTTTTGCTGATGATTGCATGAATTGGGCTATTTGGCAAAAATAACAGTAAGCTGGAGAAAAGCAAAAGAAATTGTCAGATGGGTTTTAGTCTTATCCCAAAAAAGTAAAAAAAAAAAAAAAATTAGACATGTATCAGGTATAGCAGGCTAACAAAAAAAAACAACTCCCCATTCCTGAGGAGCGGACGCAAGGCGGACCCATTCGTCCGGTTGAATTTGCATGTTCTCTAAGCCAAAACAAAGCTTTGTTTGTGGTCAACTCTTGATCTTACTGTAGATAAACATTTTGTTAAACCTTACTGTCTCTGAACTGCGTCATTTTGTTCTGAGCCTGACAAAGATGGTGGTAATTTCAAAAGGGAAGGTCCTTTCTGAAATAGTTTTATTTTAATGTATAGTTTCAGTTTTTGGAAAAGGGATACTGTCATGCACAGAGGATAAGCCACTTTTTATGAGAAAACCTACATTAAAAAGAACTATAAGAAGATGGTCCCAGGAAGCTGATGGAGCCCTGTAAGGTTGCTTTGAGACTAAAGACTGGGATGCACTGTGTCAGCCACATGGAGAGGAATGCAATGCAATGACAGAGTGTGTGGCTGACTACCTAAAAGTCTGTGGAGCAAATACCATCCCTACCAGAGAAGTGAAATGTTTCCCAAATCATAAACCATGGTACTTGCAAGTTTCTGGGGAACCCATAAAAGAGCAGTGTTGCCAACTTAGCGCTTTTGTCGTTATATTTAGCCACTTTTCAGCCCCCTCTAGCACTTTGATTTCAAAAAAGCGCCTAGCGCCAAATCGAGTGATCTTTTTCTACTACTGGAGACTTTGGCGACAACATCTAAAAGCACTGAACTCTGCTCTCCAGAGTAGGTAGATTGGTAACCCCGCCTCCTGCTCTCCTCTATCTTGTCTGCTGTCATGATTCATGCAGCTTATATTTCATCCAAATGAAAAATGGAGAACAGATAAGCAGATCATGGCTTGTCTACAGTGAAAAGAAGGACTGGGTTATTTACTTTGGCCTTTTTGGTAACAGAAGAATCAGCAATCAGCTAAGTGAGCTTAGTGCTTGGAAAAAATCTTTCATTCCTTTAGAGACAGCATGAAAAGTCAGCTGAGTACAAAACATAGAGAGGAAAACAAGAAGAGAGGGACAAGAAGAGAGGGACACAACCTAGAACAGAAAATGGATGTCTATTCTATTAACATTTCTCTATCTGTAGAATGGGTCTGTTTGATGTGTTGTCTTCTCAATGCAGAGGGCCCCCTGCCTGTCTTTGCCTAGGGCCCCAGATTTTCTAAAATCAGCCCTGCACAGAACCCCTCTCATTTTTAGCATGATTGATTGAAGATAAAACAGGACTGATGTAGAGTCAAAGATGCAATGCAAACAAATCACTTCTGTCGCCGCAAGTTTATCCAGGATGAGCAAATCCTGCAAAATGTAATGACTACTTTCAATCAGCTGAATTTGCTTAGATGGAAAATCTTAACCAGTCTGACTGGATAATCAGATTGGACTGTGAAGAGACTTTACGGATTGTAAAGTGACTAACTCCGTTTAATAATCTTTCAAAAGCCTGATAGTCCTCTTTAGAATACAAGTTTGCTGATATACAGTATCTGACAACAAATGCATGGAGGCGATATACTTTCAAGGGGATAACAAGGTTTTGTAGGGAGAAAACATGTAGCCTATTTGTAACATACCTTGGCTATAACCTGGGGCATTTAAGTACAGATGTTCATTTCAGATTATTGTAGATTTTCCTTTTAGAACTGGTTATAAAAACATAGCAATTTAATTTTGGTATTAAAACCAATACAATTAAAATGCAAGGATTAATTGATTATCTAAAAAGGGATATGTTTGCTTTTCCACTTCAGATTTTAAAATAAGAAAAAAAGAATTAAAACAGAAACCACAAGGGTGACACAGGATGTGGTCACTTACGTGACAAGAGCGCAGATGTCACAAATAGGCGTGAGAGCAAGAGGATGTTCAGCAAGAACTGCTGCTTGTAGAAACAGTGTTTGAAAACCAAGAAGCCGCTCTGTTGAAATAGACTTTAAATCAGAAACCCCAAAAGACCCTTTTTTATTTTTCTTATTTTTAAGAGACCAGAGGTTGTCACTTATCTTACATCAGCACCAAAGTGAGAGAGGAAGGAGATGCAGAGAAATGAGGATCTTTTGGCTCAGGAGGTTTAAGCCCCTGGTTTAATCGTCTCAGGCGTCTTGTCTTTGGGCCAGACACTTACCCACCTTGCCTGTTTTTAGGGGTCAGAATGGCAGTGCTTGTATGGCAGCCTTGCCTCTGTGAATGTGCCCCAGTGCTGCTGTGGCTACAATGTAGCCTACCAGCATCAGCATCTGAATGTGTGTTACAATGGGTAAAACAATTGTAATGTGAAACACTTTGGAGTCTTTGGTTACATAAAGTGGTACATCAGCACAGGCTATTTAATCAAATGAAAATATTTCTTGCAGAAGATCTTCTTGCTTCCCACAAATCAAATAGCCACTGGTTGTTTTTTGTTTGTTCACTTTTACAAATGGCTCAGAGAGATCAGAGTGGCAGTCTGTGGGAGTTGGAATCAAACTCGGAACCTCAGATTCCAAGCTCTATGCCCTAACCACTATGCCATCACTCCTCCGAAAACATGCCTGGAACATGTCTATTTATATTTAATGAAAACAGTCATTTTGCTGTAACAGTTCAGATTGTCTCAGTTGTGGAATGTTTTAGTGCATCTAAAAGATGGCAGTGTTGGTCGGGTAGATTAGCCCCTGTGAAAGTCAATTAGGGTTGATTGAAGTTGAAGAAACGGGGCTGCTGTTGGATCATCTGTTTATATGATGAAGGAGGGAAAAAGACAATTATTTAATTTAAATATCCTGCTAAACATCAACTAGCGCTTAGCTGATGCTGACCCTCTGACAACTATGGTGTTTTCTTCTTGCTTGGTCTGACTTGTAAAGGTAATTTCTCAGCTCTTTGAGCTTTCTGGCTTAGTTGTTTGGTTTCTGTGTTATTTTCAGACACACAATAGGCTCATTAAATGCTGGATTAATCCTCGTTAATTTTTTCTTGAAAACTAAAAACGAAAGACAACAAAGTAAAAATAAAAAACTTGAAGTCATGTTCCGGTTCAGACAACACCCAGCTTGGCGGCATCATTAATTATGTGGTTTCCCTCCGACATTGAGGAAGAATAACTAAGTAGTTGTAACCAGATGATCTTAGTTTACTCAACAGGTTAATAATCAGTAGTTAATTGGAACTATTCAGCTAAGAAATCTTTCTGGAAAAACAAGACGGGGGAAAAACTGGGTCATAGTATCGGACGCCTTCTCCCTCTCTCCTTTTTCTTCTTCCTTTTCCTTCCTTTTTGAAACCCAGACTTTGGGGCACTGCATTTTTCAATAAATTATATTCATGCTTTGTTTCACTGTTGACTGATGAAAAATGAGGGACAACATGAATATTAATTATTTTACTGCTGGATTTTCTTTTTATATTTGAAAAAAGTAGCGAGAAAAATCTTTTCTTTTCTTTTGGGCTCCCCCCTCAGTCAAGGGCCCTCAAGGCTGATACTTCGAAACCAGGTCGTCTGTGTAGGTGTCGCAGTGAACAAAAAGATGTCCCCGCCCCCTCCGCAGACACTCCACTGCACCTAACTCCCCCCACCCCCCAATATGGCGCCCCTTGCGGTGAGACTTTCTGTTAGAGTCCTCTGAAAACTTTTGATAATGTCAGTCAGTTGGTGGTATGCAGTGTAGAAGTGAACAGGCTGTGGATAAATGTGACATTTTGATTTTGAAGTTGAGTAAAAATGTAACCAAAAAAACTTCTCTGCGATATTTTTAACATTCTAGAATATTTGCTAATTTCAAACCAGTGGAAACAAGCATCAAACATATTTGTAAAACAAAGGTTAAGCATGTTTTCTGCTGGCAACAGAAAAAAACTGACAGCTGAACAAGGGAGTGGCTCAGTGATTTGCTAGAAAATGATAGTTTCTTCCCAGGTTGAAAGTCGCACCATTCTTCCTCGTTTAGTGGATGCCAAAGCTCATACTTTTTTGAAACTGTGTTTGTAAAATCATGGTACAATAGATCCCATTTGGTTTAAACACTGTTAACTGTATGTCAGTGCTCCCTGGCAGAGCAGATGATGAAGAAGTCAGTTTGTTGCAGCTGGTGATGGTTTCACTTAAAAAGAGGATGTGTGCTGTTTAATGGACTGCACTCAAGTGGTCATTCCTGCGGGACTGGAACAGAAAACCACAAGGAGGATGTCAGCACTTCCCCCCAGCTCCTGCTGTCTGTTTGTGATTTTGCAGCAATGGTATGTTCTACATGTTAAGTCATGCTTTTGCAGCAGACTTAGGCTTCTGATAAATGCAGACTTAGGAACTTTTTATGAACAAGTTAATATGTTTATTCAATAACTTTTCTTTCAGTTTTGCCTTTTTTATTTCATTTTGTTTTGTTTTTTTGTTGCTGTTGGTTCTTTTGTCAGAATTAAACACCTTGTGTGCTGACTGACAAGTTAGTATTAAATCACAACAGGAAATTGAATGAATGAACAATCTAGGAGTGTTGTTTCCATGAGATTTAAGCACAGCAGAGAGAAGACACAGTCCTTCTCACATGAATTAAAGGAGGAGCCTCATAACAAACCAACAAAGGGAGGAGCACAGACTGGTCTGGTAGGACGAATCTCTGACATTCAGACCAGGAACTGCGGAATTCAGCTTTTAGGGTTTTTCTCAAGGAACATTTTGGATCCCTCCTGGAAGACACCATGGATAACTTCCAGACTGTTTTGCGTTTCTTCATGAACCAAAAAGCCACCATTGGTTACAGTTTTATGGCGATCCTAACTATTGGTGGGGAGCGTATTTTCTCCATGGTTTCATTTCAGTGCCCATGTAACCATGATCAGAATTTTGCATATGGGCTGACTTTTCTCCTGGGTCCGGCTGTGGTGCTTTTGGTTTTTAGCCTGTTCTTCAGCACCAGGCTGTGGAGGCTTTACACTGGCTGCTGCCTTAACCCTATGAAGCTTTGTCCTCGTGGGAACTGCCTCGGCTGCTTCAGGGTGTTGCTGAGCATCATAACTGGTGCTTTTGTGGCTCCTATTATGTGGCTGTCTGTGGCTTTGCTCAATGGGACCTTTTATGAATGTGCCATCAGCGGTCTGGATGACAACCTGGTTGTGGATCTGTTCTGTAAAAACAAGACGATGAAGTGTCGGGAGGAGCTCGCTAGGGTGCCCTGTGACCGTTCCGAACTGTCCAAGCAGGAACGAATGGAGCTGCTGCTGATGTTCAGGGCTCAGTCACAAGTAAGATACACTAACCTAGTCTTTCTGCACATTTACAGAACTTTTATTAAAACTAGTTAAATCTATGCAATGTGAAAGGGCTTTATGAAATCTGAAACAATAAACTCATTACATAATCTTTAATGTTATGTCTGACAAACTTGGCAGCTCAACGGACAACAATGTTAGCCATGCAGTTCAAATACAATGCACCATTTTATCTGCATTGTGGGTTCAGTCAAATTACTTTTGAATAAAAGATTTGTGAAGATTTTTCTAGTCAGGGTGACTCAAAAGGCGTATGAGTTTATGAAAATGGAAGCCAGAATTTAGGAAATGCTTAAATACCTTTATTGCTGTTCCGAACAGACAAGCATAGAAATAGGTAACATAAACGGGAGTTGGGTGGGAGTGTGTGTGTGATGGGGGGTGAAACTCTAGTCTTACCTGCTCACCTCTGAACTGATACAAAACAAATAAATGCAACATCTTTCCCTACAAGCAAATGTTGGTCGAATAGACATTGAAAAGATGACATGATTTACATCCAGATAATGTCCACTCTTGGTTGAAAAGTGAAAGTTGAAAAGTCAAAATGTTCAGATTTTGAATACTGGGTTTGCAACCTCTTTTCAAAATCTGTTATACCCCCTTCCCCACTGGCTGTAAAACCTGTTTAATCCGGCAAAAATCAGCTTTTAGTGGCAGTGGGAACAGCTCATTGATGCGTTTCTACCGGGGTCAAACGAATCAACAAGCGACCCACGTTATAATCGCCTCGGCTCTGATCGGCATGCTGCGGGAACACCAGCATATTGACCAGCTAATTAATGTGATGCCATTGAATGCAACATACAGACGTCAACACCGTGCCAGTCGCTTCTGATCTAGCAAGCAGAAACAACTTTATTTGCATTCGAGTAATATGGAGCAGCTCTGGTGAGAGCGATTCAGACAGATAATATAGTGAAACAATAAAGCACACTGACTACGCCCTGGCTTCCTTCCATGTTGCTCTACATTGTTTACTTTCCTGATTACTGTCTCACTTGTGACATCATCAATGCTAACCCAGCGTGATGGTTTCACCAGACACACAGATGTGAGGGGGGACAGAGACCATGCAGCTAAGGGGATTAAACCAGCTTTTTTTGGCAGTGGGAAGGGAGCCAAATGCCAATGGTTTGTGGGTCGACCCTGTTTGGAAACACGAGTTAACGCACCATTTTCATTGGGAAAGAGGCTTTATTGGACTAAAGTGGGACAAAATCACACCAACCAAACACAGCCCAGTTTTCAACAACTATTTCTGGACTAAATCAAGGCTATGCTGGACCAACCAGTGTTACCCCTGGTTCTGAAATTATTCAAATTTAATTAAAGTGTTGCAGGAGATACTTTGCCCTTTGGGATGGTTATTTGAAAAGATGCACAAGTTGACAGAATGTGTGTTTTCATTTTGTTTGCAGATCTTGGGCTGGAGCATCATTATCATCGCTGTTATTCTAGGTCTCTTGGGTACCTGCTGCAAAAACTGTCGCTCTAAGGTCAGCTACCTGCAGCTTACATTCTGGAAGCGTTATGTTGAGAAGGAGAAGGAACGCTTTGATGCCTTCACTGTGGACTATGCTACTAAACTGGCTGAAAGAAACTTGCAGAGCTTTTTTGAGGACAAGGAACCTAATGTCATGCCCTTCCCTAATCACAAGGCATGGGAGGAGATCTCTGAATACTACTCATTTTCCAAGAGTGAACAGTATTACAGTACTCTTCACCGCTATGTGGAGAAAACAGACAGGGATTACGAACCAGAAAAAAGACCTGTCCTTGAGGTAGAGGATGGGATAGAGATGACTTAACCAGAACTCCACTGGAAAGGAAAGCAAGGAAAACACATTTACAAATAATGTTATTGAAGACACACATACGCTTTACTGATGATGATGATGATTATAAACTTTTTAAAGCAAGTCACAGTAGACATCAAATTAAATGTTGATACTACTGGCTTTTCTTGACAATCTAACCTGCCAGAGCTGAAATAATTTTTTTAAACTAAATATTAGGTTTCCACCTTATTAACCATCCCTCTGTCCGTCCCTCCATCCATCCATCTTCTCCCACTTACTCCTTCAGGGTGGTGGTGGGGCAGATGCCGGCAGTCTGTGGGCGAGAGGCGGGGTCCACCCCGGACAGGTAGCTAGTCTGTCGCAGGGAAACAGAAAGACGCACAATGACGTACTACCGTGCACACAAACTCACACCTAAGGAACTTTATTATCTTTAGCCTCTATAAGGTTTTTTTTTTCTGCTCGAAAACGACACTAAATTCGAGTGGGTAAAACTGAGCAAATAGTGCAATAAAGGAACTAAAGTTTAGATTATATGTTTAATTTTTTATTGTGTATTTTAAAGTAAGGAGGAAAATGCATAAACATAAAACTTAATTTTATTCAATAGTTTACTCAGCCAGCATGAAAATATTTATAAAAAAAAATACTATATACTCTTTTTTATGATATGATAAAAGGGAGAACCATCTCTGCTCTCCTCTACACATCGTACTTTAAAATGGTACCATCTGGATACATAAGTAACTTAAAAACTACTTAACATTTTAAAGGTGAAATACATCTGAGCATTGTCCGAATGTTTAATAGATGTTTACACTGCACTTATTAGATGTTAGGTTTATAAGTAAATGCCTACAATTAATTTATTAGAAAATTCTAAATGCAGTCCAGCTTGAAGCAAAATTCAGTGGCATTCAAAAATAAAACTGCTATGAAATCAATATTTCTTTAACCATATTCCTGTGTTCACCTGACCTATTTTTATTTTATTTTTTTGTGGTAAGGTCACCCAAAGGCTGCTCAGGTGCTAAAGTCATATAGAGATGGTCATCTACCAGGTCGCATCTGTTTTATGTGGAAAACAATACCTAAAAGTTTGCATCTGATGTATGATTATTTAATTACAAGTAAAACATGTGAAACCGATTTTTAAACAGTCTTTTAAGAAGCTTTAAATCCTATGATAGAATGGCTCAGGAATGAAGAAACCAAATGACTAATATCATTCAGCTAAACTGTAACTGTAGTAAATGTAAGGAGGGTTTACATTTTTTTTCTCCAACCCACTGCAAAGTAGAGAAATTCACTTCAATTCAGTCCATTTCAGTTTATATATTTAGCGCCAATTCACAACACATTGCATCTCAACGCACAGATTGGTTAAAAGTTTCTATCTATGAAAACCAGATGATTGCATCCAGTCATTGGATTAACATGCTGTAATGATTTTTGTTTGCATTTTGTCATTGGCTCTTCAGCAATCCCCTCACACTGATCATGCTTGTAGCGACAGTGAGGAGGAAAACTCCCATTTACACAGGAAGAGACCTGCAGCAGAACCAGGCTCAGTGTGAGCCGTCTGCTGGGGTTCAGGGAAATCAAAGCAGACATACAGAAAGAAGGAGAAATACAACATTTTACTGTTAAGTAACTCCACAAGCAGCCCAGCCAATGTCCTCTGAGATTCCCATGTCAGAGGGAAGAAGAGAGCACATACAGTTAGTCACAGTAATAGAAATGACACTGAAAAACAGGCCAAGCTCCAACATCTATAATCTAAGGTGTTGATGGCAAAAGAACAGCTGATATTTCTCTCCAGGATGGAGTCACAGCCAAACAAGAACAAACCAGATGAAGCTACTATAAAAAGCTGGGAGAGCATAAAGTTAAAGATTAAACTAACAAACATTGCAGGATGAAAGAATAGAGATAGAATGAAGCACAGTGTGAAAAAGTGGTTCCTGTGTCCTCCAGCAGTCTAAACATATAGCAGCATAGATATAGAAAATATCTCAGAATAACAATTTTGGATGAGGTATAATAAAGGTAGAACCAAGGACTCCTAAATTCCTAAAAGTGGCTTCATGAAAACATTTCATTACCTAGTTACTTCAAATGAACTGAGTGTGGCAGGTTTATTTTTTAACACGGTCTTTGACAGACGTAGGACGTCTATCTTTAAGAACAATACGTGTCAATGTAGTTATTTTTTCAAAAGTATTAATTTTTTCAGGTTCAATACAAATCATAAGCCCCACTTACAGTACCCTTTTGAAACTGTGCTAAGATCAGTCAAGCACAGTAACCGAGATAACTGTTGAATGTAAATTGCAAGTAAAACTGAACCGGACCAAGCCAGACATAACCGACTGCGCTAAACTGGTACTAGTTCATCAGTAGGGCTCAGTTCGGTTCATTTCTTTCACGGTTCTCAGATAACAATGAGTGCATGAGCAGACCGCATCATCTCGTTACAGTCATCCTCTGTAATCATGAATTTTTAGACATTCATAAAACTACTAACTTCCCTATTGTGCCACACGATTTCCAGTGATGATTCTGCTTAGCAGTTTGATGAACCTTAGCAGTGTGATGATGAACCTTAGCAGTGTGATCAACCTCAACTTCTGTCGTTGTTTCCTGTGTCTGTAAGCCCTGATTAGGATATTGTTTGTCGTGTCCTCTTCCCAAAAGCCGACTCTATCAAATAAATTCACCTAAGGCTGCCTTCTTTGCAAACAATGAAATATCACAATTATAACCAAACTTCCTGAATGTTACGGGTGCTGCCATGTTTGTTTACTTGTTTCCCTAAAGAGAGCAGTAAACCATAGAGCGTGACGAGGAGGCGAGGAACTATGCTATTGCGGTGTGTAACAGAAAGGAACCGTGCTCCGCACAGTTTACTGATCCAAGCTCGGTCGGAATTCGGCACGGATCCGTTTTCAGAGTGTACGGTAATGTAAATGGGGCTATAATGAAAGCGCTCTAGTAAGCCTGCAATTACTATTGGTAATCCTTATATTGTTTACAACTTTTAATTCTTCTTTTCATCTCTGTTTATTGAGTTCTCAATTAGTTTCCAACCTAAAGGACCGCCTAGCTCGTAACAATAAGCAACAATGAGTACAATTTATTTTATTTTTTTATCTGCATGTAAATAGGTTTTTCTTTGCAACTTTTGCTTTTTCCTGTTTTGGCCTCCAGTTCAGACATTTGTGAGCAACTTCATAGAAACTTCACATTTTAGCAATAAACAGCTGTGAGGCAACAAGAAGTATAACTACTTACAATATTAATGTTATTACTTTCTAACACTAAATACAGTTGTGGTAGAACATTTACATACCCCTTCATCAAAGACTGAAAAAGTCAGTTACGAGTATACAATATGGAAATCTTATTATATATATATATATATTATATATATATATATATATATATATATATATATATATATATATATATATATATATATATATATATATATATATATATATATATATATATATATATATATATATATATATATATATATATATATATATATATATATAAATAAGATTTCCATATTTAACTTATAAATTTTAGAAATATTTTATCAAATGATAATTCAAAATAAATCATGTATTTTAATGAATTACCATTTAGTAAATTTTTATTTACAACTTTTTTCAGTTTGCAATGGCAAACATATTTGTAAACTTTAAAGCACAACTGTATATTTCACTGTACAAATGTTCGTTCAAGAAAGAGTTCAAAACTTTTTTCTTTAAAATTTCTGATTTTAAAGAAAAAAATCTCTGGTTTATGGTATTGCTCTTGACTTATCTTTATTTAATGTTTTATCTTTTAAAAAAATGTCTTGTATGTTGGAATAAAAAACTGTTACATTGCCATTGAGTATTCCCGTGCGTTTTATTTAAACATCTGGTTTGATTTGCAATAGCAATTTGGTAGTTTTCAGAGAAAATGTTGTTATGGTAGCTTTCTTACTGTTTTGTATTCATTAGAAATTATATAAAAAAAAATAAAATAAGGCTTTATGCAGCTTTAGAAAAAAGAAAACCCCAAACTTAATTAACAAAATCTAATGAGAGTGTAAAGGGGAGCTGAGGACATGGAACCTATGTCATCTCAATTACATCCTTGGCTTTTTAAATCTATTGCCCTTGACAAAAACAACATGTAAAAGCAATTTAAAACCATTACTTCCAGGGATAGAATTTAACTTGAATATTCAATAATAACCTTTTATTTCTCCCTTTCTTTGGAAACATGCCTGCAATTAGAAACCAAACAACTATAAAGCATATAAGCCAAGGGACAAGGTGAGATCGAAATTGTGCTACTATGTGAAATAAACAAAGAAAATTATACAGTTATGAAAAAAGGAACTGAATCTAACAGATGCAGGTGCATTAAGATCATTTATAATCATACTAATTGTTCTCTTTTATTTTTGTAAAAGAAAACAGAATATTTCACAGACCAAAATGTTTGGAGCAGTGATGTTGATCTACAGTTTCCAGGAGGTTTGCAGACCAAGCTATCAGACACGCCCCTCTGTCTGTCCTCACTGTCAGGAATCCAGTTTGTGTGGGTAATTTTGTGTTTTTCTCTCCCTCCACCACCAGGTGATGCCCTGTTCTCGTTGGCCTTCCTGCACACCTGCGGCTCGTTGGTTCATCACTGAAGAGTATTATCACTACCTCGATGCAAGAGTGTTTGCCAGTTTTGGGTACTCTAGCCAAGCTGAGTTTAGCTGAATCTAATCTGAGCCTTTGTTTCTCTGAGTCTAACTTTTTTTTGTCTTTGCCTTTTTGGCAGGAAGCCTTCCTGTGTAACTGGATACCTGGCCTTCTCCCCCTGGAAGGATTAACCAAGTTCACACTGAGCAGGGGAAAACATCCACACGTTCCGTTCAAGTCCCTTTCAGAAATCCAAGTGACAGTCCACACCATTGCTCCTCAGGGTCCAACGTATGTCTACCTGTCCGCTCTCCCATGAGTTCCCTCTTCTATGGATAAACCCACACCAACTGGATCAAGGAAAAACAAGAACCCCCTCAAACGTGAGTCCCGCCCCCACTGTGCTCAAGGCTCAATCAGTTTTTCCGACGGCCCATGAACTGATCACTGTGATCTCCTCTCCAGACTTTGCAGTTCCGGTTCACCTGTTGTTTGAGTTCCAGATTCAACTCCTGTACTGTCTCCTCAATAAACCTGTTAAACTTTTCCTCTGGCTCTCTGAGTGGTTCTCTGCATGTGGGTCAGATCTCTTTAATCGATCATGACACTCTCATACAGTGGGCGGCCCGGGATGCCTGTCACAACTCCAGTCCGGCCCGCTGATGACGTCATACACACTCCGCTTTGTTGTATAAAAATATATAAATAAAAATTATAACCGTGGATGTCTGGGGGACAGTGATTCGCCTACATGTTATGAATGCTGGCGTACCATAAAGAATAAATGATGAACAGTTTAGTTTGTGCCTCCAAGTCATTGCCCATAGAAAGATGTTACTTGGATATAACCTAAAGGAATATCTTCAGAACGGCTCAAAATGACACAAAACTAATATGGGTGAGTAGAGCATGATGGAATAACGTAAAATCAAGGGCCCAATTAAAAAAAAAAACGGCGTTCCCCTTTAAGAAGATGGACCACCAACCATTGGGCAGAAGTTAACTCTCTAAGACAAAACCCTCCTCTTTGCATAATGAGGCAGAAATAAAGAGAATTGAACATATAAATAGGGTAAATAAATACAAAGGAAGAATAAAACAGACAAAAATATTATGACATGCGCATAAATAAATACTTAAAAAATAAGTAATAAATAAAGTTGAAGATTATAATGGACAATAAATAAATAAGGTAGTTATTACAAAGGCGGATAAATAAATAAGCTAATTAAAAGAGATTCATACATTTATCGCACTGTATAATTTAATTTATATCTACATAAATCAGTAAGGCCCGAAAAATATTATGACGGGAATGCCCCGTCTGGTCTGTTTATGTAATTACCATCACTAAATCTGTGATGGATTAAATAGGCTGTTGAAAAGATAGACGTAGGCATTCACTGTGACCGCAAAAGCCTGCATTTGAAGCTGCAGAACTATTGGCAGAGTTTGCTTTTCTCTCTGTAATGTACAATAGAATGCTTTTGCAGCCACTTTTCATTGACAGTAACCTTCCAAGCATGACAAACCACACTGCCTACAGGCAGGTGGCGCTAATGCGCCTCAACATCTTTCCTCCACAAGAAGAAGAATGCATGTCGGGGATCACCTGACTGACGGTTCGCCCGGTGGATGGTCGTTTGGTGCATGGCGCGTGTTTTGAAGCTGCTTATGGAGAAATGTCTTGGGCCGTGAGTAGTGAGGAAACAGGAAGCGATTCTTGTGGGATGGAAGAGGGAAATAGTGACAATGAAGGTTGGAAGATAGCAACATCAAAAAATGAGAAAAAGCGGAAAAAACAGAGATCAGTTCAAGGGGAATCTAGTTCAGAACAATCCAGTGATGATCATTCCATACATTCCACAGCACAACAAAATGAATTCAAAGTCATATTCAAAGTCGTTAATCAGGCAGACTCTTTTAC